CGTGGGGAAGCAGGCGACCATGAAGTAGCTGAGCAAAGAAGAGCGCCCACAAAGAAAAGACCCGAAGGACAAGATCATCAGCGAGTCTCGGATCTGGAACTCAGCAGCATCACCGTGCACCAAAAGTGGCGCCGTCTTGTGCTTCCAGCAAGGCCCCTTCAGCAAGGGGTGTTCGGTCAACCTGTCGTCACGTGTCTTGTCTGCAACAGTGCAGAAGTGTTCCAAGTGCGCCAAGCCGCGGACGTCAGGGAAAAGGTCGTATTCTTCGAGAGAGGGCAACATGACATGTGGCAGGCAGATGGTGGCATCGACCGGTGCAGTCATGCCGTTCTGGTCCTCTGCAGGAACCGAGACGACATTGCGCTTGGTCAAGGGCACGTCCTTGCAGAACCGGACCATGAGGTCCCGGTGGCAATCACCCTGTGTGACGTGTCCTGCTTGCAAGCATTGCACCCTAATGTGTGAAGTCTTGTGTGGTCTTTAGGGTTAAAGTATGGGGTTTAGGGTCCAGGGTTGAGGGGGGGGCTTGCTGCTCGGCTTAGGGCTTAGAAAAAGGGCTTAGAAACTGGGATTTAGGTTTTTGTTCCCAGCATTGCTATCACAATCAATCATAGAATGCTGTAGCATTCTCATGGCTGGTACGGCTCGCAAAACGTATTGCTACGGCTGTTCTTGTACTTATCATTTACTAACTGTCGTCATGACTACAGTGTTTGATTTCAGTACCAAAGTCATAGCCATCGTAGCAACAATGCTACTCGTACTACTAATCATCGCTGCTTAGGGGGTTCCGAACATTAGGCTTTTCCTCAAGGCGTCGGCGTCAACTATGTGCAGGGCGGAAGCTGAGCTCAATCCCAACATGTGATGTTGGGGCCTTAATCATCAAAGTGGGCTGTTGAGTACATAATTATCGTATAATCGCAAAAAAAGGGCCCTAAAAGGATTACGAGTGGTAATGGTTCAACCTGCTACATTGCGCATCAAAGCTGTAAACCGTCGCGCTTCGCCCCAGGCCCTGAAAGCACAAAGGTCCCAACATCCATAAAGCCCACTGGGTCAACCCTACTGGGAACTTCATACAAATATCTGTGACAAACCGGGGAATAGTACTAGAAATGTAGAGGCTTCAATAACTAGAATAGGGTTTCGGGCACCTTTATACTATAATTTTTAATTGGGAGCCTTGAGGAATAATATTGCTGAGTATCTAGGATTCAATATCACATATTCAAGCTCCTATGTTAAGGATGAACTCAACAAACCCCGAAAGCACCCTTTAAATCGCACTCTCTACATCCCGAAAAAACATGCCTTTGTCTTTGAGATTCGGGTTTTAGGGTTTAGGGCTTAGGGTTTTGTCTTTGGGATTCGAGGTTTTAGGTTTCTTACTTGACGGGTATCCTGTGGAATTGAAGGTTAACCTTTTGGGATTATATAGGCGTTATATAGGGGTTATACTACCCAACACGGTTAACTGTTGCCTCCTCCACAACTAGGGTTGAGTATGGGTTGCTAGACGGGCTACTATGAGTGGTTTAGGGTTCGGGGCTTGCCCGCTTTCGGGATTCGAGGTTTAAGCATGTTGAAAGTCTCAAGGTTCGGGGTAGACTTCGGGAGTGGGTTACTGAACTGATTTTTTCAATAACCGGGCGCCCAAGCAGTTCAACTTCCGAAGATGGACCAAGTACGTAAAGGCCGAAAAACTTGGTTGCGACTCCCGTAGGACGCCGTGTGTTTTGTGGGTTTTATGAAAAGCGTGTTTTTAGGTAAAGTGCTTAAACGTGTGGGACAAAGTGCGAATGGTTTAGAAAGCTCAAATAAAGAGTGTGAGAATCTCCGAGACTGTGCGTACTTTTCTACGATTTTCGATATTTTCCACACGTTTAAACACATGTTTTGGAGCGGGTCAGGAAAAAGTTTGTCTTGGGCGCATACGACTACAGGTTCTGCTAAAAGATAAATACCCGACGAGCACGTTTGTGCACTAGTGTGTGGCTGCGAACTGTTGGAGAAGTAATTGATGACTCCACTCGCAGCTTATCCCTTGAAAAGTTGCGATTGTGGCGGAGCGGAGTGTGCTGAGCCACAAAGTTGCGCTTGTGGCGAAGCGGAGTGTGCTGAGCCGTGCAATATAAGAGGGTCCGACATCACGAAAGTACCGTAAATACCGTTTTACGGAGTGTCTGTGCAACAAGGTCGTCATCATCCCCCCCCCCCGGTTGCGGTTGTGGCAGAGCGGAGTGTGTTGAGCCACAAAGTTGCATTTGTGGCGGGGCGGAGGGTGTATAGAGCCATGCACAAAGTTGCATTTGTGGCGGAGCGGAGGGTGTATGAGAGCGCGTTGTTACCACGACAGAAAAAAAGACTCCACACCATAACAAGAAATATTGGCACCACGACAGAAAAACAACTTCACCACGACAGCACATTGAAAACCTCACCACGACAAGGCATCAAAACCTCAGCACGACAAGGCATCAAAACCTCAGCACGACAAGGCATCAGCAGCCGCGACACATCTGCAGCATCAACGCATGTCATCAGCAGCACTTTCGAGCTTGTCTTTCCGTGCGGAAGCCTCTGAACTAGTCTTCCGGTGCGGGTGCCTGCTGAACAAACATCCGCTTTGGAGTGAAGACAGCAAATATCTCCTATTAAAGATACATTAAGCGAATGAGTGCACGACAATTGTCTCCACTAGCACTCAACTAGCACCAAAGCGGTGCCCTGTATGCTCAGCTCCGCCGCGAACCCTACAGCGTAAACTAAAGGCGGGTAAAATTCGAGGGCAGACTGCGCGGAGGATTATGAGGTGCATCGCTCACTAAATGCCTGAAAAGATTATACGACTTAGTACTAAATAACCATGACACGTGTAGGCGTAAGGGTTTCCCTACCGAGCGGGCTCCAGGATCCTTGCGCATCCTGCCGAACAGTGATCTACCAAACGTCACTGCTTCATGACGCCAGGCTCCTGCGCGACGGCGAAGGTTTGGATTATGACTTAATGCACGGTGTTGCGGGAAGTTGTGGGTAGATTTAAACAGCATGATACAGATCGGATGCATGATGCTTTCACTCATTAGTGTCACTAAAGATAGCATTTGATTCCCAGAATAGCCATCCGCCCCGTACCCTGTAGGCTTCAAGCCTTTACACAAAAGTGTCCAACACCGCATACGCTTCAAACCTGTAAAACAGAAAAGTTTAATTACCCATAGGCTTTTAAACGTGCAACAAAGTTTAATACCTCATAGGCTTCAAAAATGTAAAACAGAAAAGTTTTATTTCAAAGCTTTAAAACCTGTAAGACAAAAAGGTTTAATACCCTATAGGCTTCAAACCTGTAAAACACAACACGTTAATACGCTCGACGCTTCAAACCTATATGTAAACCAAAAGAGTCCAAGACCCCGTAGGCGTCAAGCCTCTGATACACGACAGCTTAACACCCCTGACGCAAAGGTTTCTTACCCCATAGGCTTGAAACCTGTAAAACAGAAAAATTTAACACCCCCGACGCTTCAAACCTGCAAAGAAAAGTTGTGCCCAATATCACCAGGAATGCTGCGATACACCCTTACATAACCATAAATGCAGAAAAAATGCACAAACAAATATGCATCTCTTCTTTGCTTCTACAAAACCCTTTAAACCCCAATATCTTTTCATCCAATCTGATAGACACCCGAAAAAATCCAAGCTCAGTGTTGCATGTGTCCCCAGGCATCTGAATGTTTCGACTTGAAGCCATTAGCCTTGCTCCAGTGGAGCCTGGCGAAAATCGTACCTCGTGTTGCTTTCTTGATGCAAGGTTTGGGGACAGATTCGGATGCAGAGGCATGCTGCGCAGAGAACGCTGTCACTTTGTCGAACCATCTCCAACACAACGCACGTCTCTGCGGAATTCTTAACCAGAATATGTATGTTTCGACCCGACTATTGAAGGGCACGTCGGCGCAAATGAAAGCGTATTCGAAGATGGCCGCGTCAGTATGGCCACCCGCAAGGCCTTCCTCACAAGGATGAGAACGAAGGTGCAACTTCAATAACATACAGCTCTTTAAGAATTCTTATGTTCACTTCCGAGATCGAGCGACATTAAAGCTTTCAAGTGTCAACGCAACAACGACAGTAACTGCTGCCAACGCGCAGCTTCCGGCGGTGTCGCTTAGGAGTCCCGCAACATGCTCCGCCAGCTCGGCCTGCAAATGGCAGGGTGTTGATTTTTTTTCAACTTTCGTGAAACGTATGGCTCAGGAGTCACGAATGGTATGTTTCGACAAGATTTCAAAACAGCAAGTGGTTCGTGCGGCCTTGCGCGATCGCAGACAAACGCCCAAGCGGTGCTCCAAGGCTTTGCGCAAAGCCTTCAATCAAACTGCTAACTCACCGCAAAAACAACTGAGCAGGAAGCCCAAGCACAGAAACTGGCCTTCAAAGAAACCACGGGTTCATGACAAAATCGACTGCTGTGCAGTTCAGTCTGCACAGCAGACTTGAGATCGATCTCGTCGTTCGGCCGACGAGTCGCTCCGTGGAGCGTGACATCGCCCCATCTTTCTCGCAGAGCAGTGGCCAGACGGAGATCGGCGGCCCAAAGAGTGGACCTCTTGGAATGCAAGCGCAAAGCATCTGCGTCTGCCATGAGTTGCGCGAGAGCTTCGGAAGCACCGGTCAGGAGAACTTGAACAGCGTCTTTGCTGATGCGCAGACGCTTGTCTGGGCACACGGTCTCTAGTGCTTCCCTGCACGCACCATCGAACGACTTCAAAGACACTTGCCAATCGCCGGGCTCGCCGTTGTCATTGTCTTTGCAGGCACGCATGGCAGCGAGCTTTGCTTTCCGGATCTCGTTGGCGCTACCGCGTCTACGCGGGACGGAGCACTTCGCCTTGCTCAGGGAAAAACGTTACTAAATCGATACAATGAAATTGACTACAACATATTTCAGCACATGGTGCGGGGGCTGGCTGGGGCACGACTTGTCAGGGCGCCTCCTGCAAAGCCTTTGCCAAGGGCTTGGACTTAGCCCGTGCGACGGCACCCAAAGTCTTTCGGAAGTTGACAGCCTTCATGGCTGCGGCCGGGTCCATGGCCTCGGCGGTCTCCACCTCGTCCACGTCTTCATGCAGCATAAGTGTCCTTGCAACACTTCAATGCACGCACGCGGCGTTCCGTGTCACACAAGCATCAGAAATCCGCGTACCGAGTGTTGATGTTGATTGAAATTAGTGAAGCTAGCACCAAAGTGGGATGCATTAGGTGAGCTCACTCGCAGGGCGCTGCAACAATCCACACTTACAACGTCACGCTTTCGGGGTGCAAGATATGCTGTTTTCTTTACAACTGTAAAGCGCGGGGCGGGGCCTGGAACTCAGACTTCCAGTGTGGAAGTGCGTCTGCAACGAGGGCCAGAATCTGCTCAAATGCTAGCTTCGAAGCGACCCTGGCATACGCCATCTTGGTGATGTGCGTGACACTTTCACGCACGTCCCGAGAAGTCAGACCTGCAAGGCACATGGCACCAAATTAGACTTTCATTGAAGACTCTATATGCTGCTGCCCGCCTGCTAGCATGCTAGCCATGAAGGTCCAACGCGCGACTGTTAGCAGGAGCGCTCTGGCCGCTAGGCTTGCGTGCAGTTCAAAGCTCAATGCACCAACCAGACCGATAACTTTGCGTGCGTCCCCGTTTGCACATTCGTGCGCCAGTGTGTAGATCTGTTCTATAGCTTCGATAGAATGCAAGCTCCGCTTAGCTTCCTGAGCTCTTTCCAGGATGCTGTCGTACATGCTCTGCACACCGGTATCTTCATCAAGAAGAGGTTTCATAGTCCTGCGACGCTTTGCCGGTGGCTCCTCTAGCTCCTCTTTGACAGGCGGCGAACGTGAACTGAGACGATGCCTGGACAGGGCAAAAAAGAGTACTTCAATTTCAAGGCTTTGTACTGTATACTTTCAGTCCGGGCACACGACGGCCGAGGCTGCCGGTCTGTAAGGTCGGAAGTCATCACGATCGGTGCAAAGGAAATCAAGCAGTTCTTCAGCGGTGGAAACAACCTGAAGGGATGTATGTGGACATAGGCCCGACGTGAAACATGTACGGCGTGCCTCGTTTCTGTTTGCAGGCGAGGCTCGCAGGCTGCGCAGCTGTCAAGGAAGCAGGGACTGTACGTGTGAGAGTCAAAGTGCATGTAGCCAGACGCAGACTTGACGAGGACGGAATATTTTGATTCGCACAAAATCAGAAATCCAATCCTTTCTAGAGGACCACAAGCTTGTTCGAACATCGCCCGCACAGCTTCACGCAGCGGCTGGAAGTGTGACACGACGAACATGTCCAACTGCTGGAACACTTGTGCGACCCAGGCGAAGGCAGGATCGCGAGAGTGCTCACCAGACAAGGTGCGGTCTCGGACATGTTCTAAAGTCACGTAGGAGTCGGGAGCAAGACCGTTTGCCAACTCTGCAGCATACACAGTCGCGCGCCAACGCGTCATCGTGTCTGTGCCCAGTTCCAAAGAGGCGGTCACGAAAGGCAGCAGTTCTGCCGCACCGAGGCTCACGAAGTCTCCCGTCACGCTGAAGAAGCGATGCAAAAAAGAGAGGCAGTGGAAGAAGCAACCGACAGACCCGCATCTGTCTTTGTTCAAGTGTTCAGCATTCTGGTTGATCGGAATCACCCGCACACGCGGGAGGTCCTGCCCGAAGAATGCATGTCCCTCACGCATTCAAATCATTGGAAACATGTCAAGCTTTCTCATGCTCCTTCCCCTCCTCTAAAAGGAGCGCACATGCGCCGGAGGCCGGTGTAGCCTTGGAAGTGTGCACCATGTGGAATGACAGTTAATACTAGTTGCAAGCGACGAGGGAAGAGGGGAGCCGGGAATCACTTGCTAAACAGAAGGCTTGAATTCTCCAAAATAGAGGAGCACGCGTGAGAATCACCATGTTGCTATGTTCAGAGCCTTAATGCATCAGGGGCGGAAGGGCATGACGATGTTGCTGATTTCAGGGCAGAAACTCGCGCGTAGCCTAAATCCTGCAAAAAAGCGAGGAAGCGCGGGACTAGGAGGCACGCCGCAGGAATTGGTGCGCGGGGGGAGATCGGGGGGCCACGCGCGGGAATGACTATTTTGCGGTTGTCGGGGCATGAAGCCTTTGAAACGGTGATTCCCGCGCGTGGGGCGGCTGGGGCGAGCAAAGGCACGGGGGCCACGCGCGGGAATCACCATATTGCTGATTTCGAGGCTTAAAATCTCGAGAATTGTGATTCCCGCGCGCGGGGCGGGCGGGAGGGAAGGGGAGCACGCGCGGGAATCACTATTTTGCTGTTTACAGAGCTTAAATCCTTCAATATGGTGGCCAGGGCAGGGGAATGGCAATTCCCGCGCGTGGGCGGCTGGGGCGGGGGCCTAGGCTTGCTGGCCTACAGACGGGGTTAAAAAGGAGTTTGGGGTTAAAATGAGGTTGTGTCTGTTCACAACCCACACATGATCTCTGATGCTTCATGATGCTAGAAAGATGATGGATGGAAGGGGAGCACGCGCGGGAATCATTATTTTGCTGTTTTCAGAGCCTAAATCCTTCAAAATGGTGATTCCCGCGCGTGGGGCGGGGGAAGGGCAGGGGAATGGCGATACCCGTGTGGCGGCTGGCGGGGCGGGGGAAAGGCACCGCGAGAATTACCATTTCGCTGATTTCGGGCCATAAATTCTCGAAAACTATGATTCCCGCGCGTGGGGCGGGGGGGAGGGAAGGAGAGCACGCGCGGGAATCACTACTTTGCTCTTTTCAGAGCCTAAATCTTTCAAAATGGTGATTCCCGCGCGTGGAGCGGGGCAGGGCAGAAGAATGGCGATTCCCGCGCGTGGGGCGGCTGGTGGGCAGGGGAAGAGCACGGGGGCGCGCGGGAATCACCATTTTGCTGATTTCGAGGCTTAAAATCTCGACAATTGTGATTCCCGCGCGCGGGGCGGGGGAGAGGGGAGGCTCAGCACGTGCGGGAATCACTATTTTGCTGTTTACAGAGCTTAAATCCTTCAAAATGGTGATTCCTGCGCGTGGGGCGAGGGAAAGGCAGGGGAATGGCGATTCCCGCGCGTGGGCGGCTAGGGCGGGTGCCTAGGCTTGCTGGCCTACAGACGGGGTTGTTTGGGGCTAAAGTGACTTTGTGTCTGTTCACAACCCACACATGATCACTGATGCTTCATGATGCTAGAAAGATGGATGGCGGCTCTGGCGCTACAGAGGGTGCGCTCCATTGATGCCACGACCGCTGAGTATCATCATAGCACGTTTGACCAGCTGACTTGGGAGCCATGAAAGTTATTTTCGTAGCGGGTTTGTTTTCGTTGTATCTGGGTTTCAATGTTGCCGTCACAAGCCCAAAAAAGGCATCCAAGTTGGTCCTGCTTGTGCCGCGGGCGAACTGGTCTCGCCTGAAAAAAATCCAAAATCTGATCCCTAAACCCTGAGCTGGTTTCACGTGAGGAAAAAACTCTGAAATCGGATCCCTAAACCCTGAGCTGGTTTCACCTGAAAAAAAGCCCCTAAATCTGATCCTTGAACCCTACAAGCCTGAAACCTGTGTGATTTTGGGTGAAGCACGGGCACAACAAACATAAACAGAACTTGCTTGCAGACGTTTTGGAAACCCTTCCTTTTGAATTTGCATTATTATTGTGAAATGTGCTGGTGCTGGTGGTGGTGGTGGTGGTGGTGGTTGAATAAAAGGGATAGCAGCCCAGGCCTCCTCGACGTGGCACTGACCTGGCCAGGAGAGGGTGTGGGATTTAGGTAATACAGCGAAATCTGAGGAGACCACAGGACAGACACAAAGCTGAATCTGGTTCTTTCCTCAATCCGTTGCATCGGAGCGGGCTACCTGCTCAACTGCACCTCCTGACTGATTTCAGCTGTGGTGCATAGAACCGTCCTGCTAAGGTCACCGTTGCCGGTCTCCAGAGGGCGCAGAACTCACGTCTGAGTCTCGTCATCAGATTTCTCGGATGTCAGCAGCTTTTGAATCAAGTCACCAGGAGACTGAGAGTCCAGGTCTAAACGCTGACGCTTCTCTGAGACACTGTCGCTTTTCCCAGCTGTCTGACGCTTCTCTGACACAGTGTCGCTTTTCCCAGCTGTCAGTGTTGGCAGTGGGTCCATACGCTCACGCTTCTCTGACGCAGTGTCGCTTTTCCCAGCTGTCACTGTTCCCGGAAAAGGAATCGGGCATTTTTTTGGCTTTGGCTTAGGTCTGACATCACCGCGCTGGGCTCCAGGTCCAGCGTCGACCGAAGTTGGCTGCTCAGGAGCTTCACCTCCTTGCACCTCTTGCTTCCGTCTTGGCAACGGAGGTTTCCGCCAGAGAAGATCTTTCCGCCGTAAAGGAGATCTGTCTGCCATGTCGGCTTCAATCAAAGGCAGATATGAACCCCACGAATCTGTTATCAGTGAATCTGCCACTCTGCAAACAGGAACACGCAACCTTGCATGCAGCAGCGTGTTTCAGTGTGGATGAGCCGAAGAATGTTACTGCGGCAGGATCTCGAATCACAAGTTTCCGGCACAAGTGCTGACAAAGGATGCACAGGCAGGCCGGTATGTTGGATCTTGGTGACTCTTCAGTGAACATGTGTCATCTGTTTGCTGTTTCAAGCATGCTCGGTCAACAAGCCAGCCTGTTCGCAGGACACAGAGACTACGCAAGGCTCGGAGAGAGCGCGCCTGAAGTTGCAGAGAGCGTTGGTCGCACTTCGGAGAGCGCAACTGCCTGTCGAGGCCCAGAGCACCCACATGGGCAAGCGCTTTCCACTCAGTGAACGACTTGTTGTTTGCTGCATTGTCGCACTCTATCAGCGCAAACGTGCTGTCTCACTCTCTCAGTCAGTGCTTGACGTTGGGTGCAGTGGAAGTGAACAAGCTTTCAGTCTAAAGTGATTCGCACTCAGGCAAAGACCTGGCCGGGAACGCAGCCGGAACCTTGGCTTGCTGCTTTGGTGCATTTTTGATGTGAGAGAATACCATTCGAACTCAGACCCGTCTCCCTGACACTCACATAATAACGCACAGCCCACTCAGCAACATCAGCCCTGCGCCCTGAGACTCAGCAACATCAGCCTGCACTGCGCGGTGCTGGGACACAGGCCCCAAAAGAGTTAGGCCAGGCAGGCGTGACCTCAGCGTTTTGAAAACTTGAGGCTCACATGAAAACCTTAAAACTTCAGAGGGTCGCATGAAGTTCACATATAACGCGCAGCCCGCTCCAATGCTACTGTTGTCGTGTGCTGGATGTGTGATGATGTCAGGCCCAGGCTGCTGTTTATCATGCCCCGCAGTAAGCACTCGGGCTTGTACCTTAACAGGCTGCTGCCGGTGCTGCTGCTGCTGTATCTAGCGCCGTCTACCCTCAGGCACTTCTTTTGTACTTCATGCCTGGGGCCGAAGAGCTCCTATACAAGATCTTACAAGAGTGTGTGGTTGAGCCTCAGTGTTGGGTGTTCAAGAAAATCTCCTTGCCGGCAGATTCGAGCCCCCAACACGATCGCAGTCAAAAACAACCATGTTTTCAATGACTGAGCAGAAGACACATCACCCCAGTGTGAACGCTGT